GAGCGGTGCAAAGCGGTTTCACAGGGTGGCATTCATCATAACGCGAGGGCGTTCCGCAAAACCAAAAAAGCTTCCTGTACACGATGACGGGTCCAAGGGCTTTTGGAGGAGGCTTGTGGGGTCCATGAGACCGTTGCACCTTCAAAGCACCCGATCCCCACGCGCCACCCCCGTGCAGTCCCCGTCGGCGGCGGCGGAGGAGCCCTACTCGCCGTCCCCACCGAGTAGCCGTTACGCTTCGGCGGAAGGGTTGAACGAGCTTGTCAAGAGCGAGGAGGAGAAGGAGAGCAGAGAAGAAGACGGTGATGGGGATGAGATGATTGATTCAAAGGCTGAGGAATTCATTGCTCAGTTCTACCAACAAATGAGGTTGCAGCGTTTCGATTCCATGGATCGTGATTACATCGAGCGAAGTAATAGGTCGTTGGGCTCGTGATTCATCACTCTTGTCATACTCATAAGGATTGAAAACTGCTTTTAAGCGCTTTTGAAATTTTCAAAAAAATTTAGCTTATTACTCTTGGTCCTCTTGGATATATAAAACACCCACAAAATTTAGCGCAAAGTTTATTAAAAGACCATGTCAATTAAACGGTGATTAAAAATTGTAATTTAAAAAATTTAAAACCTATGATACCTATGAGGCTCAATCTCGTATATACAAATCCATGTCTCTTACTTGAAGGACCCGAACCCAATCCTAACATTTTACTTGCCTTAGACGACGAACAATGAATTAGGACATAATTTCATTAAAAAAAATTGTATGTCTTATTACTTTAAGACATAATATAATTGAATTTTATAAATTAAAAAAAATTAATGTCTTTTTTTCTTTAATCAACTCTTATATTATCCTTTATTATCAACAAAATATTTGTTTTACTTGTCGATTTCGCTGTCTTATCCGTCACCTATAAAATAAGATACAAAAATCATTTTTAAAAGTATATTTTAGAAAGTGAATGTTGTTTGTTTTAAATGCGGTTTTTTATTTTCAAAACATGTGTTTTTACGTTTTTTTTTTATAAAGAAATTATCATGGTTGAAAAGTTTTTGGGCCTTCCCAATTAAGGGCCCTAGGCCTTGCACTTCTAAACAGGATTTAAGGTCACGTATGATTACTGGTTACTTGAAAAGTCTTTAAAACACTTTCCTATCTACATTATATTTCACTAGAAAATATAAGACTAAACTATATCAGACCTGTGCCCATTGAAATTCACTTATTTCATACCATTATGTTCCAAATATTTATTCATGATGTATACTGAGTTAATCATCCATACATTATCAGTATAAAATTTTTTACACTAATAATCAATCATATCTTTTAAATTATTTTATTTTATTTTTAATTCATTAAATAAACAAATGATATGATACTAATAAAATATATGATTGGTTGTCAGTATAAAACAACTTTACACTAATAAGATATAAGGTTAATTTGCCTTAGTTGACCAAAATGAGACCAGACGCAGATTTACAGTTTAATGATGATACAAACAGGTTCAAGGAGACAGTCCCGGAAGTGAGGACAAAATTCATCCCTGTTGCTTTTGCAATATATTTCTTTGTATATTTGTTTAAAGAAAGTACAAGCGATCTCCGTTGAGTTCAACATAAATATTTGACTTTCATAAAATAAACTTAAATAGTATAAAATGGTTATACAAGTTCATTATAAGAGTATTATTCTTGAGCTTACATAAACTATAGCAGAATCCCAAAATATCATATAACTTAATATACTACTATTAAGACATCTTTAATGTTTATATTTTAAGTGATTTTCTTATCTTATTTTATGGGCCAATAATGTTATATGGATTTAAGAACTTTACACAAGAAGGTTAGTGAAGATATGACTTTTCCTTTCTCCACAAATTCTATTCTTTATATGACATATCCTAACATATCTTGTAAGATATTTAAGATTATCTAATATATTCTAACATATTTTGTGATATATTTGGTATATTTGTATTGGTGTATTAGATCAATTATTAAGATAAATTTGTAAATAGATTCTTGAAGATTTTCAAGACAGATTCTTAGAGATTCTTATAACGTATTTTGAGGTATCATTCATGTGTGTGTAAGTATATATATATATAT